TTATAGCTGTGATCGAGCAACTATTGCATCACTTGCCTTCTGATAGTGTTTTGCAATATAACAGCCTTGTACCGCCTGCCATCTTCTGCTGAATCCACACGGTAAGTTGAAAAGGCTTGAGCAGCTGGGATTCAGTAATCAGTATTTCAGTGTAGAGGAGCTTGTGATTCCTTTTGATAGAAGTAATGCTTGAGTTAGAGCAACATCACTATCTGGGTATTTTTTATTAACAGTGACCTTGGATAAAAATTGCTGCTGGTGTTTCTTTATAATGAGCACAGTAAGGTTTATTAAGAGGACATAGGCTAGCCTTGCTGATATATGCCTGACTTTAAGGGCTTATTTGTGCTTGACTCTTCCCTTGGCTTCAGAATTACTGTGGGGATGAAGTGCATAGTTACCCTGAATAACACCATGCATGGATGCTCTGATATTGTATATGGAAATGGAGTTTAAACTTCAACACTCAAATACCTGCATAAAAGGAACAATATTGGATGCAAAAAAATCAGCAGTGTTGAAGGAACAGCTGTGTGGAAACAGATGCAAAATATTTTGCAAATGTAACTTTTTCCCCCCAATATAAATCAGTGCCAAAAGCAAGCTTGAGGAAAGGTATCAGAATCAAGAAGGGCACATACCCTTGTAAGAAAGTGTGTCCCCTGGTTTAGTGATAGCAGTAAGAAGTAATTTGTTGTTATTGACTTGCTAGTAGTGAGTGAAATGTGTATATGAACTAGCCAAAAGAGAGAAGACAAACTAAGAAAAGGTCTAGAGAAAGATCACATTTACTTGTACTGTCCTCTTTTTATTTTTCTTGTTCTTTAGTACATAGGAAGTGCCAGTGTTTGTTTTCAGCTGTATGAATCATGGTACAAGGAAATCAACTTTTAGTTTGCCTAAAAGGGAGAGAAAAAAACCCCAGGGATTGTACAAAACATATTGAAGTCTGTATCTTTGCTGACTTGTTTTTAACTATTTTAAAACATGGATCTTCTGAATTACTGTATTGTATGTAGGTGTTTCAGAAGTGAGGGTAAGGTATAGGTGACTTAAAAGATGCTGTCTGTAATTTTTTAGTGCTTTGGAGAGTCGGAAGACTTTGTGAGCTATTACAATTTAAGAAAATGAAGATGACTTCTAATCATAATCCTGTTGGCCTTTTATACTTTTTATCTCCACTGCTTTAGCAGTGACAAGTCAGAACTTAGAAATTTCAGTTCTGGGTTAATAACATTTAAAGCATAAGGTGGGGTAAATATCTTTTGAAAGTAATTAATCTCAAGTTTAAGATTTAAAAATTCTTTTTGTTCCTCCATCACATCATTTCCAGCTGAAGGAGGGCGAGAACCAAATCCGTGTGGCCATATTCTTTGAGAAAAGCAGAAGACAGCTTGAACCATGGCAAGCCAGGTAAGATAACTTCTTCAGAAACGCAGGCTTGCAGTGCCTAAATGGATTCCAGAACCATACTCAGAATTCCTAGTAAACGTAAAGCTGAAATAGCTAGCTTGCTCTGAGTTGGGTGTTCTTTTAGACCCACGATTTCTTCCATTAATTTGGTAATTGGTGGCTGTCTTCTGGACACTTAATCGTATCAACTGAATCAGGTTGGGGCCATAACATGAAGCTTTGCAGTTTGGATTACTTGAGCATAAGTTCTTCTGAAGGACCTTGCGCATAACACTCTCTATATAAGAGATATGTAGAGGTGTTCTAGAGGAAGAACGTTAAAGCCTGCGTAAGTAAAAAGTGCTGCAAAAAAACCATTCTGATTTTTGGAAATCCTCATTCTTCAGAATCTTAAGTGAGAGAGGCAACCTGTGGTAACACAGCTGTTGCTTCCCTCTTCTTTTGTGGACTTGACCCCGCTGCTTTTTTGAACTGTGGTTTTTGGGGTTTTGGTTTTTTCTTCCTTTTGTTTTTTTTCTAAAGAGGCACTTTTTATGCCTCTTTCTTCCTGACCTTACGTCTGGGTTTGAATTTTCCCTCAGCCGAGCTGGTGCCTGTTCCTGGTCTGTTTTCTCCTTACGTTCTATTAATCGGCCTCTTGTCTTTGTTCCTGGCCTGGGAGAGTGACTCATAGTTGGGTAGTCAGGGGAGGCATCTCACATAAGAGAAGAAGAATTCCTAGGTGAGGGGAGATAGAGACAGCTGAGATCCCTTCTAGGTAAGAGTGGTGATATCCCTGCCTCTTCATCACTCAGCCTGTGCTGCTGCAGGGTTTTTTGGGCCCTGGAGCTCAAGAGGAACGCAGTCCAGTCCTGAAGCTAATTAACATTTAGGATTGACCAACATCAGAGGGCTGTCTGCTTTTCCCCTAATTCCAAGAGGAAGCTGTCAATCCTTTAGCCAGCTTGACAAGTCAGGGGAATATGGCTGTTCATACAATCCTTTGGCTCTGTTATTTTTGCCAGGCATTTTCCCCAGAGGCTGCTTTCCCTCATGGGAGGCGGAGGGAGAAATGGGACCCCAGGCTTCTTTCAAGGGCAAGGTGAATATGGGGAAATCACCTGTGGTGATGGGGAGTGGGAGGGAGGAATGTAAATGAAGCTAAATACTATAAATGTGATTTTTTCTTTTTCTCCCAATAGGACTTGATGGCGAAAAAAAGAGAATGTCTCCAGGCCTACAGCTGGTGGAGAACACCACAGAAGAAACGGAAGAAAAAGAACAAAATAAAACCAGGAAGAATAGAGTTTGTCCCTAGTAGTACTAATATTTCAGCCAGGTAAAGACCTTTTGAAATGAGAAACGCTGTCTTACCTGTTTAAATTGGTAGTGATGAATGAATGCAATCACTTACTTTAAAAATTCTGAAATCGCATTTTTGATGTGTCTGCACTGCCCTGAGCAATACTTAGTGTATTGCCAAGAGAAAAATGAGATTTTTCTTTTTAGTCCCTCCCATAATCACCGAGAAGTGGCAAAATGGTCATAACCCTTTTAAATAATGGCTGTGGCCTGAGTTAGTAGTTTTTCTCAGTATTTTTGTGCCTTCCCCCCCATTCAGACAAATATTTTTTTTTCAATCCAACTTTCTAGAAGTTTTTTTATAAAATAGGTCTTTGAAATGCGCTTTTTTTTTTTTAAAGCAGTAAAATGGATCCAGAGGAAGCTGAAGCTTAGTGTTGGAGTGATGGGATTGCAATTTTTTATGTTGCACTCAGTGGAGTGTTGCAGTTATTACTGTATACAGATTTTGACTCCTTATTTGTCCAGTGGTAACTGCCTATTTACATGTTGGCTATCTTAATAATGCAGTTGGCTACCTTAGTCTCAAACTTGACAATTGCTCTTTTATGTTTTTAAAGACCGGATTATTCCATATTTGTTGGGGAGCTTACTCCAGAAGTGGATGATTTCCAGCTCTTTGACTATTTCCTAAAGAGGTATCCTTCATGTATTGACTGCAAAATAGCAACAGACCTGCTGGGATATTCCAGGTAATGCCTGTGGAAATGTGTAATGCTGTCAATATGTTTGATTCTTTAAGTAATGTACTAGAATTTGCATTGCAACTGGGTCTGAGTTTTCTTCAGGGACAGGAATAGGGATATATTAGTCTCTAGCATTACTTTTTTTTAACAGCATAGATCCTTGCATTTCCAGAACTTCTGTTCAGCTTAAGCAGTTAATGTGATAAGCTTCAATTTACCCATATGTATATCTGCATGAAATAAATTAGTTGGGAAATGGGAGAGCTATGCAAGGAGTTCTGTGTTGCTGTGCTTACATACAGCAGCATGTCTGCTTAGTCATCTGCAGCACTGAAGGTAAAATAATTTCTTTTTACATGTGGGAGAAAAGCATAAGGCCTGGGTTGGGATACTGCACCTATTAATATTAATAAAAAAGGCCTACCAGAAGTTCTACTGGTCAGGCAGCAAGTCAAGCTGGGAGGAATGAGTTTGGTCTTCAGGCAATGCTTTCTGTAGTAGACTGATTCAAGAAAATTTAGAGAAGGCATGTATAGAAAGAATGTTAGTACTGTAGAGTCGTAGGAGTGGGTTAATACTAACTGAGAAATTAACTGCTGTAATGCAGAAATGGGGAATCTGGTTACTTGCACAAATGCAGATTTATATTGTTTCACTGGCTCGTAGCAACTTGCATCTTAATGCTACCAAAGAACAGGGTTTTTGCTTCTGGCCCAAGTTCTTGGTGAAAGCACCTTCTGTGCACCTGCATGATCCAGGGAGGTTGCTTAGGTGATATAAGCTACAGTAGCTACTATCTTGTGGTTTTGTAGAAGACAGAAATTGAATAAAATAGCTTTGTAATTGTTCTGCATACTGGAATTTGTTTTCTCCCTTTTGAAAATTGTAGAGGGTATGCCTTTGTCAGATTTGGTGAGCAAGGTGATCAGATGAGGGCACTGCAAGACTGCCAGAATGCACCAGGTCTGGGGGGAAAACGAATCCGGCTGAGCATAGGAATTTCTAAAAGGTAACAAATGAGTTGTGCATTGATACAGTAATTCTAAATAAGCAGATTCTTGTAGCTCTCTCTGCCTTTGTGAAGTCTGTCGCCCTTGTAATGGCAGTACACATGATGCAGTCTACAAAACAAACAAAAAAATACCCTTCAGTGGAAAAATACAGAATATAGGGGAGAAGACGACAAAATGTTGCTTTGGAATAGTTAATAAGAGTACTATACTTTCTTTTCAAGTGATTTGAGCAGTAGGGAGTTTAAAATTAATTGTTTTTGAGAAATTTTTTTTACTCTGCCAGCTCAGTTCTCTCAGTCAGTTATTTAAAGCAATTCAAGTTTCTGGATGGTTAAATATTGATACCAAATTTGACAAACTTTGATCCAGGATACAGACAAAATAGAACGTTTTGAAAATATTTTCAGTATATTGTTAGCTTGTATGTTCTGTTAAATAGTAAATGTAACATCTTTTGTTTTTCTTTACCTTGGATAATTCTGCACGTATTGCCTTTTTGCTTTACAATGGAAATGCTCTTACCCGAGAGAGCACTATCCAGAATTGCTCTGACAAAATTATTTTTAAAGCAAGAAAAGGTCAAAAAGAAATAGATTCCCTCACTTCTGATATTCAGAAGAACGTCAGCAGTATTTTCAGACTTTTCTTTCCTACCAAAGATGTATGTAGGAGAGAATGTGGAAGCAGAAGACTTTGAGATATTATGTAGTCATTTGTTCACTACAGTAGCAAGAGAATTAGTATGTGTAGCTTTACAGTAATGAAACAAATACAATGTAGATATAAAAATGCATGATTGATCCATATCTCATTATGAATGGCTGAGTATGCGATTTGAGCATCAAAATATTCAGCCATTGGTGATCTGACAAGACGTCACTTATACTGGAAACTAACTTGAGTTCCTTCAGTTTGTGTTCTTGACAAAAAGCCTACATCTGA